TGGTATGGGAGCCATGAGAGAGCTTTCAGTGCAATCAGTGATGGTATGGGAGCCATGAGAGAGCTTTCAGTGCAATCAGTGATGGTATGGGAGCCATGAGAGAGCTTTCAGTGCAATCAGTGATGGTATGGGAGCCGTGAGAGAGCTTTCAGTGCAATCAGTGATGGTATGGGAGCCATGAGAGATCTTTCAGTGCAATCAGTGATGGTATGGGAGCCATGAGAGAGCTTTCAGTGCAATCGCAATCAGTGATGGTATGGGAGCCATGAGAGAGCTTTCAGTGCAATCAGTGATGGTATGGGAGCCATGAGAGGGCTTTCAGTGCAATCAGTGATGGTATGGGAGCCATGAGAGAGCTTTCAGTGCAATCAGTGATGGTATGGGAGCCATGAGAGAGCTTTCAGTGCAATCAGTGATGGTATGGGAGCCATGAGAGAGCTTTCAGTGCAATCAGTGATGGTATGGGAGCCATGAGAGATCTTTCAGTGCAATCAGTGATGGTATGGGAGCCATGAGAGAGCTTTCAGTGCAATCAGTGATGGTATGGGAGCCATGAGAGAGCTTTCAGTGCAATCAGTGATGGTATGGGAGCCATGAGAGAGCTTTCAGTGCAATCAGTGATGGTATGGGAGCCATGAGAGAGCTTTCAGTGCAATCAGTGATGGTATGGGAGCCATGAGAGAGCTTTCAGTGCAATCAGTGATGGTATGGGAGCCATGAGAGAGCTTTCAGTGCAATCAGTGATGGTATGGGAGCCGTGAGAGAGCTTTCAGTGCAATCAGTGATGGTATGGGAGCCATGAGAGATCTTTCAGTGCAATCAGTGATGGTATGGGAGCCATGAGAGAGCTTTCAGTGCAATCAGTGATGGTATGGGAGCCATGAGAGAGCTTTCAGTGCAATCAGTGATGGTATGGGAGCCATGAGAGGGCTTTCAGTGCAATCAGTGATGGTATGGGAGCCATGAGAGAGCTTTCAGTGCAATCAGTGATGGTATGGGAGCCATGAGAGAGCTTTCAGTGCAATCAGTGATGGTATGGGAGCCATGAGAGAGCTTTCAGTGCAATCAGTGATGGTATGGGAGCCATGAGAGATCTTTCAGTGCAATCAGTGATGGTATGGGAGCCATGAGAGAGCTTTCAGTGCAATCAGTGATGGTATGGGAGCCATGAGAGAGCTTTCAGTGCAATCAGTGATGGTATGGGAGCCATGAGAGAGCTTTCAGTGCAATCAATGATGGTATGGGAGCCATGAGAGAGCTTTCAGTGCAATCAGTGATGGTATGGGAGTCATGAGAGAGCTTTCTGTGCAATCAGTGATGGTATGGGAGCCATGAGAGAGCTTTCAGTGCAATCAGTGATGGTATGGGAGCCATGAGAGAGCTTTCAGTGCAATCAGTGATGGTATGGGAGCCATGAGAGAGCTTTCAGTGCAATCAGTGATGGTACGGGAGCCATGAGAGAGCTTTCAGTGCAATCAGTGATGGTATGGGAGCCATGAGAGAGCTTTCAGTGCATTCAGTGATGGTATGGGAGCCATGAGAGAGCTTTCAGTGCAATCAGTGATGGTACGGGAGCCATGAGAGAGCTTTCAGTGCAATCAGTGATGGTATGGGAGCCATGAGAGAGCTTTCAGTGCAATCAGTGATGGTATGGGAGCCATGAGAGAGCTTTCAGTGCAATCAGTGATGGTATGGGAGCCATGAGAGAGCTTTCAGTGCAATCAGTGATGGTATGGGAGCCATGAGAGAGCTTTCAGTGCAATCAGTGATGGTATGGGAGCCATGAGAGAGCTTTCAGTGCAATCAGTGATGGTATGGGAGCCATGAGAGAGCTTTCAGTGCAATCAGTGATGGTATGGGAGCCATGAGAGAGCTTTCAGTGCAATCAGTGATGGTATGGGAGCCATGAGAGAGCTTTCAGTGCAATCAGTGATGGTACGGGAGCCATGAGAGAGCTTTCAGTGCAATCAGTGATGGTATGGGAGCCATGAGAGAGCTTTCAGTGCAATCAGTGATGGTATGGGAGCCATGAGAGAGCTTTCAGTGCAATCAGTGATGGTATGGGAGCCATGAGAGAGCTTTCAGTGCAATCAGTGATGGTATGGGAGCCGTGAGAGAGCTTTCAGTGCAATCAGTGATGGTATGGGAGCCATGAGAGATCTTTCAGTGCAATCAGTGATGGTATGGGAGCCATGAGAGAGCTTTCAGTGCAATCAGTGATGGTATGGGAGCCATGAGAGAGCTTTCAGTGCAATCAGTGATGGTATGGGAGCCATGAGAGGGCTTTCAGTGCAATCAGTGATGGTATAGGAGCCATGAGAGAGCTTTCAGTGCAATCAGTGATGGTATGGGAGCCATGAGAGAGCTTTCAGTGCAATCAGCGATGGTGTGGGAGCCGTGAGAGAGCTTTCAGTGCAATCAGTGATGGTATGGGAGCCATGAGAGAGCTTTCAGTGCAATCAGTGATGGTATGGGAGCCATGAGAGAGCTTTCAGTGCAATCAGTGATGGTATGGGAGCCATGAGAGAGCTTTCAGTGCAATCAGTGATGGTATGGGAGCCATGAGAGAGCTTTCAGTGCAATCAGTGATGGTATGGGAGCCATGAGAGAGCTTTCAGTGCAATCAGTGTTGGTATGGGAGCCATGAGAGAGCTTTCAGTGCAATCAGTGATGGTATGGGAGCCATGAGAGAGCTTTCAGTGCAATCAGTGATGGTATGGGAGCCATGAGAGAGCTTTCAGTGCAATCAGTGATGGTATGGGAGCCATGAGAGAGCTTTCAGTGCAATCAGTGATGGTATGGGAGCCATGAGAGAGCTTTCAGTGCAATCAGTGATGGTATGGGAGCCATGAGAGAGCTTTCAGTGCAATCAGTGATGGTATGGGAGCCATGAGAGAGCTTTCAGTGCAATCAGTGATGGTATGGGAGCCATGAGAGAGCTTTCAGTGCAATCAGTGATGGTATGGGAGCCATGAGAGAGCTTTCAGTGCAATCAGTGATGGTATGGGAGCCATGAGAGAGCTTTCAGTGCAATCAGTGATGGTATGGGAGCCATGAGAGAGCTTTCAGTGCAATCAGTGATGGTATGGGAGCCATGAGAGAGCTTTCAGTGCAATCAGTGATGGTATGGGAGCCATGAGAGAGCTTTCAGTGCAATCAGTGATGGTATGGGATCCATGAGAGAGCTTTCAGTGCAATCAGTGATGGTATGGGAGCCATGAGAGAGCTTTCAGTGCAATCAGTGATGGTATGGGAGCCATGAGAGAGCTTTCAGTGCAATCAGTGATGGTATGGGAGCCATGAGAGAGCTTTCAGTGCAATCAGTGATGGTATGGGAGCCATGAGAGAGCTTTCAGTGCAATCAGTGATGGTATGGGAGCCATGAGAGATCTTTCAGTGCAATCAGTGATGGTATGGGAGCCATGAGAGAGCTTTCAGTGCAATCAGTGATGGTATGGGAGCCATGAGAGAGCTTTCAGTGCAATCAGTGATGGTATGGGAGCCATGAGAGAGCTTTCAGTGCAATCAGTGATGGTATGGGAGCCATGAGAGAGCTTTCAGTGCAATCAGTGATGGTATGGGAGTCATGAGAGAGCTTTCTGTGCAATCAGTGATGGTATGGGAGCCGTGAGAGAGCTTTCAGTGCAATCAGTGATGGTATGGGAGCCATGAGAGAGCTTTCAGTGCAATCAGTGATGGTATGGGAGCCATGAGAGAGCTTTCAGTGCAATCAGTGATGGTATGGGAGCCATGAGAGAGCTTTCAGTGCAATCAGTGATGGTATGGGAGCCATGAGAGAGCTTTCAGTGCAATCAGTGATGGTATGGGAGCCATGAGAGAGCTTTCAGTGCAATCAGTGATGGTATGGGAGCCATGAGAGAGCTTTCAGTGCAATCAGTGATGGTATGGGAGCCATGAGAGAGCTTTCAGTGCAATCAGTGATGGTATGGGAGCCATGAGAGAGCTTTCAGTGCAATCAGCGATGGTATGGGAGCCGTGAGAGAGCTTTCAGTGCAATCAGTGATGGTATGGGAGCCGTGAGAGAGCTTTCAGTGCAATCAGTGATGGTATGGGAGCCGTGAGAGAGCTTTCAGTGCAATCATTGATGGTATGGGAGCCGTGAGAGAGCTTTCAGCGCAATCAGTGATGGTATGGGAGCCGTGAGAGAGCTTTCGGTGCAATCAGTGATGGTATGGGAGCCATGAGAGAGCTTTCAGTGCAATCAGTGATGGTATGGGAGCCGTGAGAGAGCTTTCAGTGCAATCAGTGATGGTATGGGAGCCGTGAGAGAGCTTTCAGTGCAATCAGTGATGGTATGGGAGCCGTGAGAGAGCTTTCAGTGCAATCAGTGATGGTATGGGAGCCGTGAGAGAGCTTTCAGTGCAATCAGTGATGGTATGGGAGCCATGAGAGAGCTTTCAGTGCAATCAGTGATGGTATGGGAGCCATGAGAGGGCTTTCAGTGCAATCAGTGATGGTATGGGAGCCATGAGAGAGCTTTCAGTGCAATCAGTGATGGTATGGGAGCCATGAGAGAGCTTTCAGTGCAATCAGTGATGGTATGGGAGCCAAATTTTCAAGTTTTCCACACCCCTCTTGTATGAAGATTGGTAGGGGCCAGTCTGTAACCGGCATGAGATAGTGCTGTTGAATGGGTCCCATTTCAAATACGGAGTAGCATACATGCATAGATGAAGAGCAGAGTTGCTATCTAGCTGCTATACAGAGCCACATAATGTACATACAAGAGCTCTACCTGTGCATCATGTAACTTCCTTAGCTACCCAACGCACACAAGCCACTACGTTAGCTACCCAACCCACACAAGCGAAAACCTTAGCTACCCAACCCACAGAAGCAAATACCTTAGCTACCCAACCCACACAAGCTGTACGAATGCATATATGCAAATCAGAAAGCACATGGCCATAAACATGGCATCATGATGTCAGGTCAGGTGCGGTAACATCAGGTGCGAGGTTACACCAGCAAGACAGCAGTTACACCAGCAAGAGGGCAAAGAGAGCAAGGCCAACAGAGGCAAGCATGTGAGGAATGACAGCAGTGGTTTTCCCTGCAGGTGGTTTCAACCAAAGGTAACAGAATTTTAGCGCATCGTAAGGAAAAAGCAAACAGTTAGCATGTGCGCGTGTAAGAAGTGTGCTTCGGCCAATGCATTTTTTTCATCTCTAAGTGTGCGAGCTTACCTGCATGATACGCGCCGATAGCATCCATATTATAAGGGAAAAGAACCCTCGCGCTCAAATACACCGCGACCTCGCTTTCAGGAATATCCACCAGGAGGTTCCCAGCGTCTTCGTCCGTCACGGTGAACGCCAACGGGCTCCCATCAATCATATGGTAGCCGGGCCTGAGGGGGTCTCTGGGCGGTGGTGGGCTGGCTGCCTGCTGCTGAGGAGACATGCCCGAGATGTTCCAGATTCCAGAATTAGAGTAGTAGTACGACGTGCCCACAGGAGTAGTAGAAATGTACGACATCCAAAGGGGCTGTCCTTGCATGGTCGGTAGCTCCCATGGCCCTCCGGATACGTACTGGACGGTATGGGGAGTGATAGGTGAGGATTCAATTCCAAACAAAAAAACGTCGCAAAAAGATACCGCGAGGTCACCTCCACGATACCTCCCTGTGGGTAACCCAAAGGATCCAAGTTGGATCAGAGATGGTTGAAATTGTGCATGATATATATGTGGACAAAGTAGGTGGTCAAACGGCCAAGTTATTTTGTTACTAAACACGTGATTCGTGCGCCAGCTGTCACCGGGACGTACTTTGTCATTCCAGGCGGCATGTGTGACTCACCTTGGCCGTCGCAACGCTGGGCGGGATATATTGCGTGATGACCTGGAATTTCCAGATATCAATCATCGCTTTCTCAACAGCCGGATCTATCTCCGCCATAGGCCACTCCGTGCTGGAACGTTCCGCGAGAGTCATGGTAAAGAGGGCGTCGAATATCGCCTTGCTGAACTTTCGCGTCGAGTTGTCGTACATAGGGTAGGAAACAGCTGCCGACATGAAGGCATACACGGGCTGCGGGAGGAGAATTGTCACGCCGGAGATTTCAGACGTGCCGTCCAGCCCGAACATGCGTTCCACGAGCGTGCCGTTCGTGCCTCTTGATTTCAATTGCGACGCCAGTAGAGATACGGGAACTGCGCGGGCGATCATCGGCTGAGAGAAAAACGCCACGAGTAGCAAGGTCGGGACAAAATCATCCGCCAAGATTGAACGTCCGGCCATCGTAGTAGTACGATGATCGTACTTTAGCCTTCACAAGTTGTATAGTGTGGAGAAACCCTTGATACCTCAGAAAAAATGGCTGTAAGATTCCAAGTGTATCGAGCAAGAAAAGGTCCGGTGATTGCAGAAACTAAGGCGTAGGCGAGTCGATGAGAACGGAAAGATCGATACTAAATACTCAGCAACGAGCAAAGAGGATTCACTGGTTTGGTTCTTGATCCACAAACCAGAATTTACGCGATGCGATTCGAGAATGCTTGGGGACAAATCTCCAATTCACGAATCGCCCATGCATAATCAAGATGCGAGAAGTGATTTTCACTCCCCGTTGGCGCCTGCCTCGCTTCGCTGGCAGTCGCCGAGCGCACACGTGACCCCGCTCCAGTGACGTTGACTCGAACAGAGCCCCGTGGTGACCGCACGTGGTGAGGACCAGACATCCACATCAGCATAGATCGTCATAATAGCATTCTCGTTCTGCCCTTTGGTTGACAGCCTAGACCACAAAGAATCTGCTCCATCCCCGATCCGATTTTCCTGTTACGCGCGCGAACTAAACGTGATAACTAGAACAAGTCAGACAATCTTAAAGGCCTTGTAAGCAAGCCTAGATGCATTTTTAGTAAAGCAAATTGAAACAAAACAAATTGTCAACACACATCCTAATCCAGACGTAATGAACAAACCAATTGTTATTCATAACTACATGATTTTCCATGGGAATAGAATCACCTATATATGGTATGAGTGAAAAGGTTAGGGGCAAATGAGGTGTGCTTGCGAGTAGGAGGGAGGATATGTTAGGGAAGAATGGCGGGCGTGTTCATCTGTGTTGGGAACAATAAGTCTTAAAGCGCCTCTGTCGTGTCGAAACTCATGACTCAAAGCGAAGCAGTCAGAATCGAAGCATCGCGAGTCAACCCTCGGAGGTTGGAAGTAACCGCCAGGAGGTTACACGAAGGTCAAAGGTCAGCGACCTTTGACTTGACCAATACAGCGCGACAGCAAGGACAAACAACTGACTCGACATTGAGCAGTTGCCCGAGTCGCACTGTATCGAACCGCAACAGTAAAAGCAGTTACAATGTCTCTTCATATTCTCTGTACTCATCTATTTATATTCTTGTATCTCTTTGCTTTAATTAACTTACTTTGCCCTCGCATACCAGTGCAAGGTGGTTCAAGATATCTTACTCAAACGCTTCCGCTATTACAATCCTACTCAGTCTTTAACTCTACAAAGATCCTAGGGCTTCTCAGCCCAACATGGTATGAGAGCAGTTAGAGTTAAAACTCATTATTCAACAAACCTTACATCAACGAAAACATGTCAACCAGGAAGGAGAGGAGCTCCTCCAACGGCTCTCCCGGTACTACTCCTACCCCACCACCTGTCTCTGGCCTACAGACAGAGGAAGGGACTGCTACCAGACCAGCAGCTGGGTCCACGGAAACTCCAGCAGGCTTCGATCCAAGCATGATGGAGAAAATTTTCTCCTTCATGTCCTTCTACGAACAGCACTAGCAAGGGGCACCTGCGCAGTCAAACAACAGCAACAACAACAATGTGACTCCCATGAGTCTCGACGGGTCGTCCTACGCACGCGGGATTCAACAACAACAACAACAACAACCTACCTTTGAGCCGTACAAACCCCAGCGTGGTTCCGTCAGCTTCATGCCGCAACCGCAACCTGCATCGGGACAAGAAAAGACATTGGACGCGTTACAAGTCCAGTCGCAATTCGCGCACGTTCTCAAGCTGCAAACGACAAAGCCTTTCGACGGGAAAGACTTCTTCACCTGGTCATTCGAGTTCGAATTGATGATGGAAGGAGCACAGATTCTCGGCTTCTTCGACGGGTCCCTGCCATATCCAACAAACGGGACACAGTATGAGAAGCAGCACTACACCTATCAATCGATGATGGCGTACACGATACTGCTAAGAAACATTACCCCGACCCAGCAGCAAAACATCAGGACTTACCGAGGCTACGGTAACTCCGCGGAGCTCGCGTACAACCACCTGAAGAACCTGTATCAAACAACAGACAGCGTAAATCCGAGCAGGTTAATGGCGCAGTTGACAACGATTGAAATGAAACCAGACGAGAAAGGCATGGCTTATATCAGCCGCTGTCGCGAACTGCGCGACAGGCTCCTTCGATGCGGAGGGTCAATCTCTGAAGACGCCTTTGTCACGGTGGTCATTGGCGGTCTTGGCCCCCACTGGCGCTCCACTCGCGCCATACTCCGAGCACACGGGAGGATCTCCGAAGCGGCAGTCTGCGCCGAAATCCACGCCGAGTAGCAGGATATGGACCTGCAAGAAGAAAGGCACAAGAAGAAGTCATTAGCACCGGAGTTTGCGTTTCACACTCAACGACGATATAACAATCGACAACAGCAACAAGTGAAGACAGTACCTCCGTTCTGTCACATCTGTAAAACTTCGGGTCATCCTCGCACACACTGCCCATCTCGTCAGCAGTCAACGACACCACAGCGACAACTCCGGCCTTCAAGCTCCCAAGTTGCTTCAACGCAAGCAACTCCGACGACCGCACACCAAGCTTCAACGACTTCATCTGGACAACCTGCACAAGGAGCAAAAAACATTGTCAGCTGCATGGTCAAGATAAACGACTCTTGCACAACAGAGTCACCACCGTACTACTCACCCGAAGATCAACTCAACAACAGCACACCCCGCCGCGAATCTCTTCAACCGAACCCAACGTACGCCGCAATCGCTCAAAGCGAACCATCCGGTCAAGACACCTAGTTCTTGGACAGTTGCTGCGGACAACACATGTGTTCCTCCGGGCGCTTCGTTCAACGCGAGCATCGACTCCAGCGAGAAGTAGTCATCACGGTCGCCAACAATCAAAACCTGCGCACACGGAGACAAGGGGTGGTACAGCTTCAGTCACGAGAAACAAACGTCATACTCCACATGTCAAAAGTCCTTATCGCGGAGGGACTAGGCTACAACTTACTGAGTGTTAGCCAGTTGATGGCGAAAGGAATACACTTGGAAGCCGACAGCACCACCCAGGAGTTCAAGTTATACCACGGGAAGGGCGGTCTCTACATCGGAAAGGCGGTGTTGAAAAACAATGTTTTCGTCCGCGACTTTGTTCCCGACCTGGGCACTGCCGACAGCGACGCTATCGTCAACTTCACCGATTGGACGCATCCCCCGGATCTCGATCCCGACTTCAGCCCGGGAGGTTTCTGGTACTCACACACCATTCCTGAAGCAGAACGAACACGAGCATTAGCAACAATTCGACAATCGGCAGCAGCAGAGACAACATCGGCAGCAGCAGAGACAACATCGGCAGCAGCAGAGACAACATCGGCAGCAGCAGAAACTTCACCGGCAGCAACAGGACCAACTACACCAGTCATCGTCGGAAAAGAAGCACCAACACTCGCACAGCAGCTGAACCCAACTCAACGAGAAGTCCACAGGAGCACCAACCTTGTCGCCAGCTTCTACTCCAACTCCGACACTTATCGACGTTCACCCGGACATCGCGCCTCTGAAGAAACCTGGCACGCACGATTGGGACACCCAAGCAACACAACATTAAATAACACGATAAGAGCAGGAGTTCTCGACAAATATTCCCTACTACTACCCGACGGCAGAGAACTTCAAAGGGCACGAGGGACTTGCCTTACATGCCCTGAAACTGACTTACCTCATCGACCGTTCGCTCCACATCACAACCCGAGCGCACCAGCGTACGCACCACTCGAAAAAGTATACAGCGACATCCTCTTCAATCGAGAGCCAGGACAAGTGACCTACAACTACACCATTACCTTCATCGACGCCGCCACCCGATATGTCTGGCACCTAAACCTACCAAGCCGCGACATGGCTCTCGCAGCTTTCACCGCCTGGCTACCGGTAGCAGAGAGGGAATCGGGAGCAAAGCTGAAAAGCTTCCAGTCAGACGGAGGAGGAGGAGAGTATACCTCTCAGCGCTTCAAGCAGTACCTGGCGGAAAGGGGAATCAAGCAACTCCTCTCCCTTCCCTACGCCCATCAGCAGCAAGGCGTTGCAGAACGACTGAACAGGACTCTCCAGAACAGCATGCGTAAACTGTTGGGTGGCATGCGGCTACCCAACCACCAGTGGCCTGCAGCAATGGACCACGCTGTCATGCTGCACAACTTGCTTTCATCGTCGTCACTCCCGAACAACGCGTCACCACATCTGCTGTGGACAGGGAAGCAGGGCAGCACAAAAATGTTACGAGTTTTCGGGTGCATGGTACAGTACCGACCCCCAGAAGCACGCGCGGGAAGATTTTCCCAACGGGCACAGTGGGGACTACACCTCGGCATCGAGAAAAATTACAACGCATGGAAAATCTTCGACGTCCACTCAAAGGAAACAGTGGCAGCACGTGATGTGATCTTCTACGAAAGACTCACCCTTCAAACGTACCTCGCCAACTTGCGCGAGAATCAGGACCCCACAGGTGGCTTTCGTGGTGACCGAGCCTTCGCCTCAGCAGCGGACGAAGCAGACTGGGATGAACAGAACGTTGACAACGCATCGGAGGAAGCCGGACCTCTTCCGTTCTGCTCCGTCGACGTGCCCATGGACGAAGAAAATCCTCGCGAAAGTAACAACGCCGAAGTCTTTTATCACTTCGCCGATACCGGTTACGTAACACCTGCAACAGTCAACACCAACGAAGCAGAAAGGATAGGGCCAAATTTCATACCCGATCCAGAAGCGGGAGACGAAGCAGCCTATCCCGAGGACACAACACTCCCCCGCTACTCACAGACCGGACTGCAAATCCTCGGCCTCGTCACCGCCGTCCATGGCTCCCCTCTTCCTAAAGAGCCTGCGACGGTTCAACAGGCTCTGGGGGGGGAACACAGAGAGAAATGGCGTG